TTTTTTTACTTTGTACTATAATGTGTTGCCGCTACTGTAGCTGAGGTATTCTATTTAATCAGAAACTTTTGAGGAGTTCAGAGGCCAAAGACCTTTATGCCTTTGCAAGGTACATACACGTGTATGAAGGCAGAGCTCTAAGTAGGTAACTCTGGATGATGCTCAGATATATCTGCCTTTGAGGGTTATCCTTTTATTACTGTTTCCTCACTTTCTGACATGAAGTGATGGGAACTGCTTGGATCACTGCTTTTTTTCCTACCACTACCCAGTCTACAGATGAAAATATGAAACATCAAGGCATATGATCCTTTCATCATTACAAAGATGTGGGTACAGGAAAACAATCTCTCAATAATTGAGGCAGAAAATAGCACTAAGTATTTGAGTCATATGAATATGTAATGTTATGTATAACAAAATATATTTACTCCTTCAATAGATGATTATATTTAGTTACAGTTGTTACAGCATTATTCCAGTTCTACCATGTCGATGATGATGATTTGCATGTTTTATTTAAATAATTCCTGTAGGATGCACACAAAATTAATTTATTTCTAAATGACGTTTATAAACTGTTGTTTAGGAGTCTTATAGGTAAATGGCCATGGATGGGCTATGTGTCTAGGTACATTCCTACATACTTATTTTATTTCATATTTTATTTTCTGAAAAATAGCATGTAGAATATTTTTCTCAACACAAGAGTTTAAATTATAAATAGAAATCCTGGAAAATATGTTCATCTAAATGTTGAAAGGATAAAAATATAGGCTAAGTGATGAGCTTGTGAGTTCTAGGGCTTGCGGGAGCATTAGTATGTACGGTGCCAAGGTCAGTGTATAGCATGAATGTAAGTCTCCTGCCCCCCCCGATGAATATTTGTCAGTGGCAGGAACTACATGGTAATAAAGCATCAATGTAGTGACCCTGTTCATTTCTTGAACCCGTCATTGGATTATGTGGTGCTGTTTTGTGAGCATTGATAGATATATTTATTCTATTTCTTTTAAACCTGAGAAAGTGAAGGTAAGTAACTCTCGAATTTGGTGAAGTAGGGAGAATATTGCTTTCAGAGCTTGCGGAAAGCACAGCTTTGTGGATCCAATGCTGAATAACCATGTTTACTTAGTATTCATTGTCGTTAATCCTTTTCAGTTCTTAAAATTCGTAACCTTGAATAGTTTTCTAAATCACATTTGTTTTTTAGCTAATGCTTGGAGGTCTTCGTAGCCTGTTTCATGGTGTCAGACTGTAACCAGTAAAAACCAAGATCATCCATATTTCAAATGTGACAGAAAAGTCTCTTTTGGCATGAGTTTAATTTTCTCTAAATTAGCTTAAAACTCAAATTGTCTTCCACAATTTAAATATGTATCAGTGATGTTACTTTACAAACCCTTGAGTTCTGGGTGCGAAAGACAGCTCTGTTAGAACTCTGCAGCAACATGGACGCCTGAGTACCGACGTATGGGGGAGTTCTCTTATTTTTGATTTTTTTTCTAGCAAGTGCTAGATCCGCTCTGACAGATTAAAAACTTCCAGAATCTGTAAGATGCCTTTTGAACAGCAAATATATTTGAAACCTACCTGATTACCAGTGATGAACTGGGACCTGCTCATTTAAGATGCCATACAAACACAACACGGTGATTTTTGATGAGAAAGAGCTTCCTTTGCATTTACACCAAAGGTCCCATTGCTCCAGCTGTGTGCCTTCACTTAACCTTGGGAGATGTAATCTGATGTGATCTGAGTCAAAGTAAACATTCAAAATCATTTCAATTCAGCTACAGAGCGTGAAAAACAAAACACATCTGTCAGGGAGATGGAGATGGCAGAGACGTTAAGGGGATCCTGCCTGCCAGCACGCACCCACCAGCAACTGCCACGGCAAGCATGGGATCAAGAAGGACTAGGATAATAGGATGATGTGATAATTGTAAGGGGGTTCAAAGGTTATTTTCCGGATATTTTCTAATTAAAACAACGCAACACACAACACCTTCCTTTTTCAAGTTCTTTCTTTTTTTTTTTTTCTTTTTTTTTTTTTTTGTAATGTTAGTTTTTATTGTCATTCTGCTCTCCACCTTCTGGAGAATAATGCTTTTAATTAAAGAAAACTAAAAATACTCTTTTTTAATGACAAAACTTACCAGAATTCTGTTGAAATAGAAGCAGTCCCATCATCTCTACTAATAACTAATACAGATCAACCAAAAGAGTTTCCAAGAGCAAGATGGGGGTTGCATATTAGCTGATGAAAGACAAAGAACGTAAAAAAAAAAAAAATAATCTACTTTCCAGAGATTTTCTGCAACATTAAGGGCTTGTTTTCTTTTACATTGCAATTCATCATAAGGTATTTTCAACAGAAAACCAGTCGATCTTGCAAAAGTCAATTTAATCTAAATACAGTAGTTAAGACCTCTGGAAAAGGGCAAAATGGAAAGACATCTCCTAGTGAAATTTTTCACCTTATTTGAGCAACCTGAACTGTTCACTGATAAAGTATTTACCCCTGTGAGTTCTGATGTTGTTTGCTGTTACATGACTGTGTCTTTATAGCTCCACAAACAGCACACAGCCCCTGGCTCAAATCTCAGCCCACTCCATTGGTTTTCATTTCAAAAACATCTTTCACACCAACTAGAGCCACCAGGCAGGCTTGGAAAAAACAGGTTTTATTAGATAGGCATAGCTGAACGCCAACAATGCTGGAACCTAGATAATATTTTGATGGCTAATTTATCTCCAAGTACAAGTCATTATAGACTTTGCTGTGCTTTTCCAGTTCTTGACCCTGGGTTGTGGGTGGCAGTTGGCGTGGGTGTATCACTGTGTGCATAACGACCCACCTGGGCACAGGACCGGCATCGCCTTGCGTCCACGCAGTGTATTGAAATGCCGTGCACAGCTCTGTGCTAATGCGATGTGCTCACGCCTGCCCTTCCAAGCAAGCCTAGTCTGCTTTGCAGGAGGTTTGGGCAGCATTTAAATAAAATCTCTGTGTCTAGTTATTACAGCAGAAAGGTTAGGTAGCTGAACAGGGAAATCCTGTTAGAGAGGCTGCTTTAATTCCCGGTTCTTTGGAGTTCAAGCGATTAATCCCTGCTTTGATGACTGTGTGCACACAAAAAAAAAATGACCCATTACAAAACTGTAGGGGAAGAAGTATAAATATAGTGGTGACAACTGAGGGAGGCTCCAGCTGGAATAGCCAGTTGTCCTGGGCAGCAGCTGTGCCTTCCAGGACAAAGCGAACATCCTGGACAATCCTGGCAGGTCTAATTAGATAAGAGGCTCCTGGATAATGGCAGTTGTGCTGTGTAAGGTCTGAAGGGCCTGATTGTCCTCTGAAGTTGAGAGAGGTTGGGAAACACCGTCAGGTACATAGGTGAATATGAACACACTCCTCTTTCTCCAAACAAATGCATTTTGCAAGCCAAGGTAACTGTGTGTCAAATTTGTCAGCAGCTGTGGTCTCCTGCACAGAGGCATGCGTTCTTCGTTTGGCATTGCTCACCACCAAGATTATCTCCCTTTAAAGATGATGTCATGTTTTCATCCTACATATTATCCCTCTACAGCTATATTTTTTGGCAAGTAAACCCCTGCAAAGCTGGCATCCCATCCTCGGAATGGGCAAAATGCCACTGTAGCAGATGGGTGAGCAATGAAACTAGCACGAGTGGCAAGACAGACCCTATCAGGGTAGGGTCCTTTCCAGGAACAGGGAAATGGCATTCTGTGGAGCTGTTCAGCCTCTAAAATACAGGTATAATATATTATTCATTGATTCTTGAGATCAATATTGAAGAATGCAAGCTACCAAACACAGGCTCAGAAAGTGAGAAAAAATGTTTTTGTGGTTCCTTCAGACATAAGTTGCACAGAAGAAAGCACTGAGTCACTAAATCGCATTTCTAATTCATTTTCTGAAGTAAAAAGTTTTGCCTAAACGCATTACGAAATGAATGAATTGTTGCTTATCCTGAAATGCAGGAAAAAAGTATCCATGAAGCAAACAATAAACATGGAAAATTCCTTACAAATTTAACTGTATCAGTAGGTCTTATCTGGAATGGCTCTTAAGAACTCGATCAGTTAAACAAATGAGATTTTGGGTTGGTTTTGTTTTTCAATAATCTTGCAGGAATTAAAATTTCAAAATTCAAGAGTATTTCTCCATGTGTCTTTAAACAGAGAGGAAGTGAAAAAAACATAAATTAAATGCTGGAGTTTCACTTTGCTTTCAGAAAAGCACTTCTGATTTTGAAGTTAGGAATGTGTTATTTATGTTTTCCTTTTTTAAAATAAACTGATTAACATTATTATATATTTTTATACTTTTCAGCTATACTGATTTTCTTTTAAGACATCTGTTACATCAGGTTTCAGGCCTCAGCATTACTGAATTGATTTGAAAGCACAAGATTGCTTAGGACAAGATTGCTTATAACAAGTAGTAACAAGGTATCTTTTTTTTCTGAAATCAGGTATGATACATGTTTTAAAAGAAGGAAACAAAAAAAGAGCAGAAAAGTCTCAAGTATTATCCTGGTTCCATTTTCCTTTATACTAAGATTAAATACTAAAAATTGACGGTAATAAGGAACCTGGGAAATAAACATTTTATACACAATTTAAAATTAATGTCTACAGAATATCTCTGTATTGATGGTAAATAGGAGTGAATATAGCAGACTTATCCCCAGTGTCACTGGACTTTAGGCATAAATGTGTCATATTGTATAACTGCTACTCATATGAGACACAAAAAAAAACCCCAACAAAAAACCTAGAATAGTATCTGTTGTCCATGTGCTTAGGCACTGACGTGTCTGCATCTGCCACCAGGAAGGGATATCGAAACATCAGACAACAGCTGGGGAAAACTTTGACCCCTCATTTCTTATAAATGCCACCATTACTTACCAATGAGACTTGCACAAGATGTCACTGGTGAATGCTGTGGCTTCTGTTTCCCTGCCTAGGAGAGGAGTCACTCACAATTTTTGTGGACAAACGGAAGCTGAGCAAGAGGTCAGAAGGCAGTGATCCCAGCACCAACAGCTCCGCGGTGACCCTGGAGACCCTGCACCAGCTGGCAGCCTCCTACTTCATCGACAGGGACAGCACGCTGCGCAGGCTCCACCACATCCAGATTGCCTCCACTGCCATCAAGGTAGGGGAAGTCCTCTAGGAACAACCTGTAGATGTGTTTCCAGATTCATTATCTGCTTCTCAGGAGAAACGTGTTTTCACTGGTGAAAAGAGATTGGTTAGTGGAACAATAATTTTTGCTCTAAATTTTTTTGCCTAAATGAAAGCACTCGATTGATAATGAAGATCCTGGTTTAGAAGAGGGTCTAATGCACTACTCTTGATGAGTGATACATTTGAATGATACAGATAGCCATCATAGAAGTGTTTGATCACTGAGACGATTTCCGTTACATATGTGGTCAGCAACTGCATCTATAGACAGACCTCTATTTGTGTACGGGTACATACAGTTCCCTCCTGCTTCTTTCCTTCTTTCCTTTTATTTTTTTACAAACATTGTTATTGTGCTCCTGTGACTGAAACTTTTTTTTTTTTTTTAATTTTTGTACTGAGCTGTAGATCAGTTTGGAGCTCGTGGTCCTACAGTTTTGTGGAAGCAAATCTGGTTTTCTGTTAGGAACTTCTTTTAGTACAGTTTGCCAGTCAAAGCACTGACTGCTGTAGGTGTCTCAGAGTGTCTCAGAGCACTGGAGGATGCTTGGCTAAGATCACTGTCCCGGCAGGTAGTATAGAAAGCATCAACTATTCTGAGCAGCTCTCTAGCGTAATGTTGCTTATTTGAAATAACCTCTCAGACCATTTCTAGCACTGAAGAGCAAATAAAATTTTAACATGCAGTTGAATATACATTAATTATGAAGCTTTTAATATAAGATGTGATTTAGAATCCATTCCGCTCATTGTATCTTTCCATTTGTAACTAAGGTCTTCATTAAAGCCCATCTGAAGCCAACTGCAGTTTCTAACTCCCTTAGATGTTACTCAAGTAAATATTAATTCACCTCCTCAGGAGTGCCAGGGCCTTTATGGTGAGAAGGATACAATGGGAATTTGTGGCTTGGCAACACCTGTTCAGTTTGGCTGGTGGCATATGGAGAATATTCCTCCTGTCCCATCCACGGTGGGCTGGCAGCGTGGCAGCTAACCCCAGCTCAGAACTGGGCGTCCACAGGTGCGGGATGACGTTTGGATGTTCAGCACAGCCAAAAATGCAGCAGAACCAACACAGAGTTCCAGCTCATCTGAGGGCTGCAGACCATCGTCCTATCCATCCCTCCCATCTGACTTATCCTCATAATCTTGTTCTTTATTATGTAGATGTACAACAACCTTTAAATCTAGGCTCCTTCCATCACACCACAAGCAAAGCCTTCCTTTTAAGATAGTTTTATGATAAAACAGGATTAAGAAAATTTGAGGCTGAAGATAATTTATGGCTGATAATAGATAATTTATGGGTGAAACCAGTGGTGACTGAAGTGGTAGAACATAGAAACATAGAGACAAAACAGTGTCTGAAAGAAATCTCTCCTTTCTGTTCACTGAGTTTTTTTTCAAAGCAAATTTGCATCATAATGCAAAACTCAACCCTGTCTGCTAGCAATTTACATAATGAACCTTCTGCGTGTCCAAAGTTTTTTACAAACACTACAAAATTATGAAGTTTTCTCTCCATCCCCTCACTGAGATGGATACAGATGCAAGCTGTAGTCCATCAGCAGATCTGATTTGGTTAATTGACTCCAGGAGGCTCTAGAAAATAATTCTCACGTCAGCTGCAACAGTGCTGATACATGAAACCCTGGCTTTTTAGCTTGCTTTCATTGAGAAACTGAGAGTATTTGTGTTACAAATTTCTATTGTCAGAACACTTAACTGAGCTAAAAAATTGTTTCTGTTGAAAACTAGGAACACAAAAGCAGCCAGGGAAGGCATTTTTTTTGTTCTCTGCCTGCACAGATTTTTGAAACACTGCTGGTTTTAAATTGGAAAACCATCAAATGAAGTTGTAGATCCATGGTGTAAATAGCATGTTTCAAAATTATTTATTAAAAATGTATAATCTGACACCTGAGTTAGATAACAAGCTTTCTGTAGAACTGCAGAGCCAGATCTCTGTGTTCCAGCAGATCAGCTTGAGGGCTGATTTGGGAGAAGTGACACCCTGGGGGATCCAAGGACCAGGGTGTCCATCAGCCAGCTCTGGGTGCTCCAGGGAGAAGAGTGGACTCAGTGCATAAACTACTGGGCAGCTTTTTAAGTCACAGCACCTTCTGTGTCTGGCTTGCTCACCACCGCTCTGCTCAAACCCTTCCTCTCCTCAAGAGATGGAAGTAGGGATTTGCAGAGGGAGTCCAGCAAAATCTCTCTCAGTTTACCATAACTCCCTTCTGACCAGCATCAAAGAAATCCAATATAGAGGTACTGGAACAGGTTTAAAAATTCCTGAAATTCTGAATTTGTATTAAATGTTTCCAAATGATATACAATCATTTTTTGATTGCAGACTGGTTAACAGCAACAAAAAATCATGTTCAGAATCTATTCAGTATTTGATACTACCATTTTCTATTAGTTTTGGATGGCTTTTTCACATGCAGCATACTAGACTACTGTACTAGCAGAGTTTATATTTTAGGACAAGAGAACTCAGAGTGTTATTAATGTGTAACTCATGTTCTTACTAGGAAGAACTTAATGATCCTTTTGGGAATGTGTATCTGAATAAAGCAAAAAAAAACACACCATACTATTTGGAACAGACAAGATTTAAAGCACAGCTCAAAAGACATGGTATTTGTGGTATAATCAGAACACTTCAGTGCACAAATGGGCTCTGCCACAAACGTGTTCCTGGAGTTTTGGAATTCAGAATGAACAGGAGTAATTTGATAATATTTTCTTGTTGGCTTGTTTGTTTGTTTTTCACATTCCTGTGACTTTGGCCAATCTGAAACTGCAGCAATAGTTAGAAACGACTTTGCACAACTGTTTGCATAACCGTGTATTTGCTGTTTGTAGCGTTCTGAGATGTAGCGTTCTGTAGATGTTCTGGTGGCTGTGACACCCCTAAAGATATTATTTGAGAAGAGAGATTAAAAATACACTTTTTTTACTTCAAAAACACAAATAAACAAACAAATCCAACATTTTTTGTTCCTTTCCCCCCCCCAAATCAATATAAACCTCTATTTTCAGGTTAGACTAGATCACTCCTTGTACCTCTTTTTTTTTTTTTCTATTTCTATTTCTATGCAAAAAATACACAATTTTCTCTTAAAAACAAAAAGGATAATATTTATAAACACCATGATGTATCTCCTAAACCATTTACTATATTAATTCTGTGCCCTTTCTTGTGATTTTTTGTTTTCTCCTGAGTTATCTTTTGGGTTATCTGGTTTGGGCATTGTGAATCCGTAACACAGATTTAATGAACATTTAGCAACAAAAAGGTAATAATAATACTATGTGAAGAAATACTATCTCATCTACAGGAGCATGAAATAAAAAAATCCTAATGATGCAGTAGTAGAGGGGGTTTTGAAGCTACCTTAAAATCACCTCCAAGAAAGGATTTATCTAGGACAGGGAAGAGGATGAGCATTTAACAGAGCTATAGCAGTGCTCGGCCATATGCTAGGATATCAATGAGCAACTCACCCATTCACTAACTAGGGCTGTGTCTAGGTTTGGCCATTCAGTTCCTAATGTTTCCAGCTTCTCCATGTAATGCTTCTTTAATAATTTAAGGTTTAAGTTCTTTACAGATGGGACATGGAAAGGGACCCATTAAGTCTCTTGAATTACAGAGCCAAATCATCACTACACCAAATATTAGGTGAGAATGATCAAGCTCAATCAGTCTTCTGGAAAAAAAGACAATCGCCAGCAATGAATATCTGTTTTCCCAAATTCAAAGAATTTCTCTTTGGAAAGCAGCACATAATGAAACATTTTTCTTCCATGTGTAATTAAAACAATGCATACTTGAGCAAGCTAAGGCACATGGAAAACAAGCAGGTGGTTGTTGACAACCAACATGGCTTTACCAAGGGAAAATGATTCCTGACAAATTTGGTGGCCTTCTACGACAGGGCCACAGCGCCGGTGGTAGAGGAAGGGCAACTGACATCATCTACCTGGACTTGTGCAAAGCTTTTGATACTGTCCCACATAACATCCTTGTCTCTAAGTTGAAGGGACATGGATTTGATGGAAGGACCACTCACTGGATAAGGAATTGGCTGGATGGCCGCACTCAGAGAGTTGTGAGGCAGTGGCCCAGGTTGCCCAGAGAAGCTGTGGATGCCCCATCCCTGGAGGGGTTCAAGGCCAGGCTGGATGAGGCTTTGAGCAACCTGGGCTAGTGGAGGGTGTCCCTGCCCATGGGGGTTGAAACTTGATGATCTTTAAGGTCCTTTCCACCTCTAGCCTTTCTATGATTCTATGATTCTATAATTCTTATATTCTTCAGTCATATTCATTGAGATATATGAATGAATTTCTGAATTTTTTTCTTACAGGTCTTGATACATTATTTTGTGTCACTGATGCAGGAAGATAATATTTTTATATATTTTACAATTAAGCTTTTCTATTCAAAAGCTAAGTAGCATCACAGAGAAAAGAAAGCATTGAGGGAGGTGAGAATTAACATTAAAGTCTCTATGTTTAACTCTTGCTTACCTAGTGAAAAGCAATGTCATTGCGAGCCCAATCTGTTAATGTGCAGCATGAAGAAAGGAGTAGGAGAGATTTATTTGATGAATCAAGTTTGTTATTCAAATTTGCTTGTAATCAAGTTGGTTAGCTGTGCATGAAACAGCTGATTGAGGCTTCACATTAATCACATAGACAATACTTTGTTTATTCCACATTTAAAAAGTTAAAATCACCATGTTACAACATTTTCCAACTGGAAATTAAATGTCCATGGGAGCTACCCAGAGCTTATATCAATATTTAACTTATTTAAAAGTCCCTGATACATACATTCTTTCAATATTATATTAATACATGCATTCTAGTATAAATGGTTAGGCTCATACTCTAAATCAACAGTTTGCACCCTCAAGGAAACTCACCAAGTGCCTGAGGGCTGCATCTGATTTGCAT